GATAAAAGGAAGTTCTTTGTGCGTGGGTGACTTATTTATTAAAGCAATTACAATTCTTTCGAAATTGTTATTTAACCTGTAATAATTTGCGGGCGTCAGTTTCTATGTATCATTTCATAGTAATACGGAAATTATCAAAAATTTTTTGACGAAACTTAATATGATCGCCTGAATCGGTGATTAAGATCAGACTGGTACCAGGATATGACGTAAATCTCGTGACAGAAACTAAAAGATTATATTATTGTGCTAATTTCGTTTCTACGCGTAATTCTGTTTTGTTTCTCACAATGACCTGATGCTCAATTTTATTTCATCGCGTGAAGAAACAGTAGACAATAGGTTTTCTTTAAAATGTTTCATTTGGGAATCAACTGAGCTTAAAACAAACCGTTTTTTAAGGTGAGGATCTTGTTTTTCTTCAAGTATTTCGATTTAATTACCTTTTTTTTTCGAAATTGTCGCCGACGTTTAATGGAGATCTCAATTCATTCAAGAAAAAGCCTCTTTTCTGGGCTTCTCACAGGCTGATAAATTTGGTTCTATTGATGTGATATCGATTTTGTTTTGTAGACAATGTATTATCAGGACAGTAATTTCATAGAGGCTTTTGTGCTTTCGTGTTCTGAAAGGTTAATACAGGTTTAAGGTGTTCTCATTTAGTTGAGGCAGATGCAAATGTAAAAGACTTGACATTTTAAATCTCTAACACCTGTTTTCTATTGTCTAAGTAAAATACATATATAAACGACTCTGTTGTATCCTTAGATTTTAGTATGAAGTATGATTTTATTCTTGGAAAAAATTGAGGCGTCGGCCGGGACTAAACACTGGAATTTATCGTAGATATCTACCACTAACATGATACATGGTTTGGATGACTGGTCTTCTTTTAAAATTATCATATTATGAATGCATTTTAAGGATCAGGTAATGTCTTAGTACAAAAGTAGCAGGATGTTTTGGTTTTAAGCTTAAAAGCTTCATACGCGATCAGTTACCGAAATAAGTGTGAAACTGGCAACAAACTTTTGTTCTTACACATCTTTCTTTGACAAATGCTTTTCGACATCCCAGCAGCGAAGTTCGTGAATGTGGAATTAAATTTCTTCATTTGCCTCTAAACCATTGTGCTCGTTTCCATATTTATTGTAACAGCTTGAAGGAAAAACAACACAAATTTCATTTTTTCAATTTTCTCTAGGAAATGACGGTATAGGAAAGATGCTGCAAAACGAGAAAGAATCGTGTTCAACTCCAGTACACCTCGACATGGGAGGCGAATATTGCACTTTAAGAGAAATTTCTGACGCGGCAGCTGCGGCTGGAGCAACAAAGAAGCTAACCAGTCAAAAACCTGAACAAAATGCACAAGCTAACCACACAAGTCGAGACGATAAGGATGTCAACCTGAGCCCGAGGCACAAAGTGTTACGCTCAAAGTCAACTCCCGCGCGAGAAACACCCGTGAACATCGCACTTGACACAGAAGGTGTGTCAGCTAAACACGTGAATGGTGTTCAGCCGAGTGCGAGTGGCCATTATGTGATAGCCCCAGCGAGACGAAGCACAGGTCATGTCAAACCGGGAGGCAGGCGAAGTCTCGGGTCTCTTTCTACTCGGGAGCCGCCTGCTCCACTCTGCTACTTCGCATATCTAGGCAAGCTCACCCCAGCGCCGAAAGATACTCAGCGGGGACGGCTTCACTCGGCGCATGACATCTTAGCTGATCGGCCTGTGATAATAACGAGCACGTCGATTATATCTCCTTACGCCACCAATGTTATTTGCCAGGAATTTGAAGCGATCGAGGAGGACGAAAGACGTGGAGATTGCCACGACCTCTTGGACTGTTGCACGTGCATGTGCTGTGTGAAAGGACTCTTTTACCACTGCACCAAAGATAACAAAGATGAAGGTAAAATTTCCGAGGATCCCTGTTCATGCCAGGGGCCTGTGAGCGAGTGCATGGGCCGCTGGGGGATCATGGGAGTCATGTCCATATTCATGCCTTGCCTGTGTTGTTACCTCCCTTTTGAGGCATATTTTAAGTGCCACGACTGTGTGAAAAGTATGAACAGCGGAGATGAACGTGAGAGAAGGAGGGATCCTATAGGATGCTCGTCTTCGGAAATGGAACCTGCATCAATATCGATGAATTCCAGAAATGGAACTGTGATATAGAAATTATTAATAATTTCGTCGAAGCCCTGTAGATTCACTTTTATCTCAGGGATAAAGTGTCCATCCTATTTTACTCGCCGAATGTTAATATTTGGTATATCATGTCAATCCAAACATTTTGATCAGTAACAAGGTTGAAATTTGCTGGTCAAATTTAAGGTAGCTTTAAAATATTAAGCGCCGTGTTTAAAGTAGATCCCCCCTATCGGTTGTTTCCCCGTCAGCAGGAAGAGCGAAAACCTTGTAGTCAGTAAAATAGGGTATCGATTAGCAAGTATCTAGTAAGACGGTTACAAAACGGGACAATTCTTAGTTCCTTTTTATGTGTAGGGGTCTCGTAATGTCTGCCATATATACCATTCAAAGATAAGAGTTTGTCGTACAATCAATCGATGTCCTCCTTGTTAACATCTTTGTTCTTTTCGGCTGACTTCTTGACAGTGTATTGATGCTTTAATGAGAGATGACTTATTGATCACTCCCGGGAGTGAAAGGGTTTTTCTTTAGCTAGAAAGTAACCCAAAAACGCATTACAGTGTGGAATCATACCAGTTACTGATAACTGGAAATATAGACACGTTCTAAACTAACCGCAAACCAGCAGACTGGGGCGGGATACCTTATATAGTATCAGAAATTGCATACTGCTGTAACATTGAGTGGTAACGACTCCCAAATGACGCAAATCAAAGTAAAAAATAGATTCTGCATACCGTGCCTCTGGTCAGTAATAATAGATCACAAAAAAAAGTAATGGCACACGTGGCGCAGCCAAGTGGGGCACTGTGATCTTTAACTGTACAGACCAACGATAACATGGAATCTCTTTGCTATGTATGATGAAAAAAACAACCAAAATGTTGTTTATGGTAACGTCATTTATGCGTCTGTCCAATAGGTCATAGGAACCAACTAAAATGTGTGCACAATTGATCTTATCATTGAACTTAAGAAAAAAAATACCAAATCATTGACATATGATAGATTGCTTGATATAGATATAGTTCTGCTAGGTTTCACTCGGAAATCAGCTTCGTTCGATATGAAACACAATTTATAAATGGATGTCTGTAAATACTGTAGAAAATAGCAAACTGAATTTGTAACGATAACAAAACAGAGTGAGAAATATATGGAGGGTCCACGAATCTTTTAATTCAATTCTGAGCTGATATCGGCGTGAAATATTTACGAAAACATTTCACATAGTTTCTTAGCTTCATTGCTTATCTTTTAGAAATATTACATGATTCATTACTAGTTGAAATATCAAAGTAAGGGATAATTAAACTTCTATCCTGACCGAGGAGTTACATTTCTTAATATATACAATATCAGTCTAGTAGAATGAAACACCTCGTATGAAAAATAAGGGGAAAAATGAAATGGTTTTAAGTAGTAAGCAAAGTTCTTATCAGAGCTGCATGGTTACCTATACTAGGCACTGCAAAATAACTCCCTATCATGTAGCATTTCGGCGTTTTTAACAATATCTCCCGCAGGACATACACAAACGGGTCATCTTGATGCTTTAATGCGGTTTGGGTTTTTTTGGGCCATCGCACTGCAGGTATTCTCACACAAGATTAAATTTACCGGCCTCTTAGTATCGGCTTTTAGCGAGTGGCTAAAGTTTCTCAAAAACATATCATACCTGTAACCTTTGCTACCATATTTGGGTAGAAACGTATCCGTTTTGATTCGTTGGCTGTTAAACCTCAGCTTGTCTCAAATGTTATAAGTAAATTTTAACGTTTTCAGTTTCAGTATATGCCTCTTGTTTGTAAAACGCTCCCTCACATAAAGAAAAAAAAATTGAAAACAAATAATAAAACAAACAGAAAAGAAAACAACCAAACCAAAATTCAAATTGACTACGGTTATTTTCGAAGGCTTGAGACATGACGTATTGAATGATCAAACAAATTACGTCAATGTAAAAATGCACGGAGGAAACATCGTTATAATCCACAAAAACTTTACCTTAGTTATGTTCAACTCGTGAATCGAGAACGGGAAACTTATTCTCATAAAGCTCCGTGATTTTACGTGAAATAGAAAAAACTTCGGAACAGCTCCAGTTGTTTATTCGCTGACTAATCACTGAGCTTCTACTACGTCATCGGTAAGATGTTTTTCTGTCTTTTTTTCAGAGCTCTGTTTTTTAGAATATATATATATATGTATGTATACATATATACGCTCGGTCCGCGCAAATGTTTTGTAATCATCTTTCCACATTCGTATGTAGTAATTGTTCATTTTTATTCCCTTTCTGTTGCCCTTTCGAGTCTTAAGGAATTTTTTACGGTTAATTTTCTCAGCGACTAACTGTTGAAATTTGTCAATTTTTAAGCCTTACTTAGTTAAGTAGTTAATATCTTCGAGAACATTGATATAAATTGGAAAATGGACTTTGTAAATATACATAAACATAGAGTTTAAAAACTCTAACTGGCAGGAACCGGGTCTGTTGTAATCAAAAAGCAGACAAGGGGCTGAAAGCAGGGCGGAGGATTTTAAGCTCCATGTATGTAGCCTAAAAATCATATCTTTGCGAATCGTTTTGAAGCGTAATTTTAGTTTAGAAATGGTTAACGAGCAGCTTGTAACCATGGAGTTTAAAGGCTGACATTTCGAGCGTTAGCCCTTCGTCAGAGCCCTTGGCTCTGACGTCAGCTTTTAAACTCTTTAAGGTGGCCAATTTACATTATCAACTCAGTTGACAAAACCAAATAGTCCAGAGAATAACCTAGCTTAGCTAGAATACTCACGCCTCAAAATCTCCTTATCAGCAGCGATCCATAGAAAAAGATATGGCCATACGAAGATCACTATCAATATCGGAACTAGCAGATTCGCCTTCAGATTCAACACACCATGAGACCGCAATAAGTGCCCTTGTTAGTAATTCTGACAGCGATGACTCTAAGTTAAAAAAAGAGCAGCCAAAGGAAGGAAAGAAAAAAGATTCTCTTCGAAGATGCAAATCCTTTCCGTTTAGCGGACAAAGAAAACATAGCGAAGAAACTCAGCCAGGTAAGTGGAAGAGCGCTTGGGAAAAAGAGAGAGGATATGTTACAGACCTTATAGCAGAAAACCAACCCGTCAAGAATCAACCTCAACTCTCCTATTTTGCCTATCTTGGTGCCAGATCCCCACATTTTGTGCGTTACCAAGCCGTTTCGAGCGATGCAGATGTCATTATTAACCTTGGGAGAGATATCATCTCTCAAAATAGGGCCACTGATCGTACAAATTCTACGGAAAGAAGGGAATTCCAGGGTGAATCTGTTTATGCTAGCGAGCCGTTAAAACTGGATAGAACACAACTGATAGAGTGCTGTACTTGTATGTGCTGTATCAAAGCTGTATTTTATCATTGCACCAAGGACGACGAAGATTCAGGGAGAAACTGGGCCGACGAGCCTTGCTCGTGTGAGGAACCTGGGACCGATTGTGCGGCTAGATGGTGCATCATGGGAATCTTTTCTCTATTCATTCCTTGTTTGGTCTGTTACCCTGTCATGAATATCTGCTCTGACATTTCTTTTAAATCACTGGGTAAGCAGGACAGTAAGGGAAGGAAAGATTGCCGCTCTTGTCTATCGATAGTGAATTAGGTGGGAGTTTAGCCCCCGAGGGAGTTAGGGTTA